TTTTTTAACCGATAATTGATATCTCACCGAAATAAAGACATAATCGTAGATTATATCGCTACTGATTTTAAATTTTGATCGAACATTCTCTGTCATATTTCGATAATCCATTACAAATCCATTTTATGTTGTTATTTATCTGATGTACAAAAACAAGAATGATAAAATTTGTCACGTTATATGTTAATATTTTATATATGCGATGATAACAGTGCGCCGAATAACAGAGATTCGCACGTATTTTATGATTCCATGGAGAGATATGTTCAAAACTTTTATGTCATGTCAAAGCGATGTGTAAATGCCGGTATTTTATTTTTGCCAACAACCGTTATTTACCGTTTAATAATACATTCTGTAATGTATACTGATATCGGTACATTTCTTTCGGAGTCCACGGAATGACGGATAAAATCTCTCGACCGTAACATTTTTATGCACGAGAGAGGTTCAAGACGGTCGAAGGAGAAGACGGCTCCAGGAATGATTGTAATTGCCCGTTGCTTTTTGATTAAAGCGCCTTTGGCAAACTGCTATAAGTGCCGCGCTGGCAGGCGAGTTTATTAGCATGCTTCCCGCCTGTTGTCTACGTCATCTAATGCCGGAGGACTGACGGCAAGACCGACGTCGACGCCGAGGCTGACCCCCCCCCCCCCCCCCTATGTCGGTCCAAGTTGGATTCCCGTCACTTAAATACTCGATAGCGGCAACCTCCGCGCATCACGTTAACTATTTACCTTATTAAGCAAATATCCGATCTTTGTTATAATCTGTCTTACAACAATGTCTTATCGAGATTTTTGAAAGACGAGCTGTTATTTAATTACTTGCGGATCGCCGAATAGTGCCTCCCACGAGTTTCTTAAACATGTTGACGACATTATTCGTTTTAGATTCAGCCATAGCGATGAGGCTTGAGAAAAATGAAGTGGCGTTAAAACTGGCATGTTGGGGCCATGTGGCGACCATTAAACCGAGGCTACGCCAGAAAAACTCGTGGAAAGCATGACTAAACACTGCCAAGCAGTGTTCGATAGCAATATAGAGATTGAACAAGTTGATATATAATGCTAATTTATAGCAATATTAATACAATTTTTCGATTTTTCGAACAATAGATTGATCTTTTGTTCGAAAGATCGATCATTGGTAACGTCCCTAACTAAAATAAGAGTTCTCGTTGTTTTAACTTCCGCATCACGTTCACTTCACTAGTGATTCATGATCGATCCTCTCCACTGGGAAGCACACAATTCACTCTCTTTCTTTCTCGTGTTAGATGACCGGGGATAGAATGATGGAGAAAAAGCACGTAATTAGGCACCTACGGGGAAATGAATTCTTTCCGGTGAAACGATTAATTCGATCGAGCGCGAAGGGAGGGGCTCAGTCATTTATCGCGTATACGCGAGAGGACGAGAAAGTTTCTCTGTGTTAGGTAAGCAATTCTGTGTAACCGTTAGTTTTTTTGCAGAGCCTTCAATATTAAATTGATCCGTCGTTTAAGTACTTTAAGTATGTATGAATTATTATTTGTATGCATAAAAAAATATGATGCTGAGATATAAATGCGAGTTTGTAGTCATGTCGCATGAATGTTACGTAGGAAGAACGGCGACGTTCTTGCTCATAACTGTTTCGCGGTATTCGCAAATTTGAGATACCTAATCATTCTCCCTCTTTCACGCTTCCTACAGTGTTCGATAGCAATGTAGAGATTGAACAAGTTGATGTATAATGCTAATTTATAGCAATATTAATACAATTTTTCGATTTTTCGAACAATAGATTGATCTTTTGTTCGAAAGATCGATCATTGGTAACGTCCCTAACTAAAATAAGAGTTCTCGTTGTTTTAACTTCCGCATCACGTTCACTTCACTAGTGATTCATGATCGATCCTCTCCACTGGGAAGCACACAATTCACTCTCTTTCTTTCTCGTGTTAGATGACCGGGGATAGAATGATGGAGAAAAAGCACGTAATTAGGCACCTACGGGGAAATGAATTCTTTCCGGTGAAACGATTAATTCGATCGAGCGCGAAGGGAGGGGCTCAGTCATTTATCGCGTATACGCGAGAGGACGAGAAAGTTTCTCTGTGTTAGGTAAGCAATTCTGTGTAACCGTTAGTTTTTTTGCAGAGCCTTCAATATTAAATTGATCCGTCGTTTAAGTACTATGTATGAATTATTATTTGTATGCACAAGAACAAGAACGGCGACGTTCTTGCTTCTAGCGCGATACGTAATTTGCTCGGGAACGCGGGAAATAACGGTTCGTTATTTTACGCGCATCTTGTACGAACGTTCGTACAGTTGGCACAACGTTAAACGTCGCGCCGACGGCTATACAGCGGCTGGGAGAGCTCATTATCCGAGCAAACAGAGGAAGATAAGAGCGCGGAGATGGAGAAATGAGAGATCTCTCTCGTGTGCGTCTCTTCTCATCTTAATTTCCTACACGCGATCAGCCGTCCATACACGTGCGGTTTGCGATAAATGCGAAAGCGTATTAAAACCGATTCGTACATACGGTTGCTTTCGCGTTATAATGCTATCTCCCGTGAAAAGGGGAAAGCGTAATCTCATCGACCGATTCCCTTTCGACCGTTGGACGCCGTTCGACGATGATTATTTTCGCTCGCGTTGCTTCCTACAGAGGAGCGCCGCTATACATTTCACGGTGTCGTGATTCGGAGCACCGCTATCGAATCAAGGGAGAGCGGTATCAGTTTGCCTCCACATCCACGACGCGCAGATACGAGTGCTGGGATCCGACCGGCCGTAAAAATAAATCCGAGACTCATAATCTGTTTGAGGGGATAGCGCTTTTCTCGTTCGACGGCGGAGGAAGAGCCGGGACCACCGCGATCATATCGCAGGGAAGGAGTTTGCTTTCCGTTCTCGGAAGTTTCGCTGCATTCACCGCTCCATCTCGGACCTTCTCCTTTGAGTTGATTTCCCTGAAAGCGCTCGACGGCGAACGTTCCCTGAACGTTTGGAAATATATAAGATATTACTTGATTTATCTTCTCCTAACCGATATAGTTTTCTATATATATGACAATATGTTATAATTAAAATTACTCTCGTGATGTTATGATCGATAATGTAGCGCGTAACCGAGGGCGCGGTAAAAATGTATATATAAAAATACGCTTACGCGTAAACGAGATATGTCGCGTGTTAACATGGTAACTGCGCCGATGGTAAAATTCGATGAAGTATACACCGAAATGAGACTTTATTCGAAATCGTCTATGTATTTTGTTCTTTCTGCTTGTCGGGTGGTCTCGATTCGTGTATGTATACGCGCGTAAACGAGCACTGGTTGCGCAGAATAGAAAGTTTTATACCGTTCCACGCGAAATGAAACGTTACATTGTCGCCGTTTCTACTCCGAGTTGTTAGTCTGCTCTTTTTTTCCACCGCATTTTCCGGTCTCGCTCTTATCCTTATTTCTTCAGGCTTTGTAGTCTCTCTTTATACCTACAGTTGCCGTGATGCTCGTAGAGAAAAAAAGAAAAATAAAAAAAAAACAGCGGTTCATTTTCCTAATGCGACTGATAGCGGTGCCAAAAGGGACACTCGGGGCCGTCGATAGCGCGGCGAGAATGAGCGAGAGCATCTCTATGTCTCCACGATGGATGATGGAAATGTTAACGAGATTCCACGATGGATGTAAAGCAGGACTAGCTGGAACAACAATGCGCTGGCAGATTCATCAACCAAGCGGTCTGTATAAATTTAAAAGATACAAATAAGTAATGGATGTATGTATATTAGAAAAATATATGGAATAAAATACCAAGAGAAAATTATTAATTTTTTGTGAGGTTGAAAAACGAGCGTCTCTCTTTCTTTTTAATTCTCAAATAATAATATTTTTATTACTGGACTCGGGAAATTTGCCAATTTCTAATGGCTCAATTATAGTGATGTAGGTCAACGTATTTTCAATTTCGACCTTGGAAGCTTTTACGGCAGGAAGGCGCGACGCATTGACGTCTCAAATCGATATACATGAAATTTGGGGATTACACAGATTCATTGACAATTACAAGCTTCTATATTTTAAGCACAAAGGATTTTTACAATAAAAATGTCTGATTTCTGTTGTTCAAAAACAAAATCACTCTTCAAACTATTATTTCTGGATTTGCGCCAAGAATTCGGTTATCAAATATTATTCGTACTTTACTGCCTCTCATCCGTTCATTTTCTGTGGACTGTGCAACCGCTTATAATCTCTGACAACGCTTAATAATAAAACTCTGCAATTGTATCATATTGCGTGTATAACAAATTAAAATAAAAACGAAAAGTCTTTTGTATAAATTGCGATTATATATGTGGCGATGTTATTAACAAGTAATAGTATATAGGAATAAACTCTGTTATTTTGGCTTAGCGCATAACAACTGAAGCGTCAAGCTCTTCATCCCTAAATTGATACACCAGGGACCCTGTTAAAGTCAGTCAGTCTATCGATTGACATGCCGTTGTACGCGTAGCAAAAAAAAAAAAAAAAAAAAAAAAAAACAAGAACACGCAAGCATGATTAATGCTCGTATAGCAACGGGACAACAATGAACTCTGTCGTCGCGTAATAATCAGTACGAAAAATAGGCCAGCGCGAGACAATGTTCCGTAATCATCATTTACTTCTGTGCGGTTCACCGCGTCGCGTATTCATCGCGCCGGAAACTTCGAGACAAGGACGAGAGAGATTATTTGATCTCCATTAACAAACGGGTACGCCGACAATGTGATTCGTACACGTGTTACATTGCGCACGCACACGCCCGTGCGGTACACACGCGTGTATGTACGCCGTCACCCGTGTGCCCGCCAGATGTCCAGAGAGGCGGGATGCTGCGTCGCGGCGCTCTTCGTTCTCCCACGCAGTGCGGTCGGAGCGCGGGTGGGCAGGAGAGAGAGAGAGAGAGAGAAGAAGGAGGAACGCGCTGAATGTGGAGAACGGAACCGTTCAGTCGCAGCCACGAAGCAGCGCCGTGCGCGACGACGACGACGAGAACGACGGCGACGTCGGACATTCGCGCACGTTACATTTCTTCTCGTCGTCGGTCGTCTCGTCTCCGTTCGTACGAAAGGATTATACGAGTCTGATTAATTAAATTTCTGACCGTCGCGAAATCTCATCCGTCGACCGAACGAGCCAACGCGCACCGCGTGTGATTTCTTCGACATCTCCCGCGTCGTGAGAGTGCGGTTTGTGCTCCGAAACGGATCGTCTCGTACGATACGACGCCGCGAATACTTATCGGGCACGCAGCGTGGGTGGTGAACCGCGATGTGGTGGCCGAGTCTATAATTAACAGCGAAGAACGCGTCTGGCAGTGTAACGAGGTACCATCCCTGCAAGAAATTAAGCGACTCTCGATGAAAACATCTCACAATAAATCATCAACGAGACGCAGAGTGAAAAAGCGAAGGATGTGGCCGACGAATTACGGATTTATCGCCGGACGTGTTTCAACAAGCGTCGCGTTTCGATCGGTAAACTAGAGATCGATATGAAATAATAACGCAATCTCTTTGGAATATACATCGAGGGGAAAGATCATAAACGAAGCAGCGTTGGCAAGTTTTATTGAATAATGAACTTCTCGAATCTTGTTGGCAGTATTATATAGTGTCAAAACGGAGCAGATCGGTCGTGAAACTTCATATAGTGGGTGATTGTATGGAAGGATAACTTTCTTAGTAGTTTCCACGCACATAAATACGTAGTAACTTGAGAGATCGTGCCCTCGTTTCATCGTCGTTCAATATCAATTTCCGAAGTGCGAAGCGTATTACGGAACAAGAATCGAAATTAACTGCGTGACTCATTCGAGACGAAGTGATACTCTCGGTCACGTTTTACGAGCGGGATAATCTGGTAGAGGCCGAATTAACCACGGCGAGCCGAAGGTTTTCGCCAGCGGAAAACGACGACGCAGACCGGGGACGATGATTAAAGCATTCATGCTCGAAAAGAGAACCCTGGCATGATTTGATCCACGATTAAGAGATCGATCGACCCTGATCGAACGGTCGTTCTCCCTCCCCTCCTCTTGCGAGCATCAAGCGAGCCGCGACGTGACCATCAATACCCTAATAAATGTCACTTGCACGATCGATTGGTGCCTTTTGCCAGCCATGACATAAAGAGGGGACGATTTAAAAGCGACAGAGACGACGGGTCAACGTTGTCGAAAACGGCTGTCGACATCGGATCGCGATCGGATGGAAGGGCCCTCTTCGTACGGACGAAATACGTAATCGAGATCCCCGACGCCACTTTCGGAGACCTTGATAATTATTCACGAATGGAGGATGAACAGCGGTGTGTGAGGGAGAGAGGCGGACGCTTTTAAACCGATGAGATGACAGTGCTGTGCGTGCTGTGGGCTACTCTGTCCACTATAGCCTCGATTCTGGCGTGCTCCGGTTTTTACTTGCCTTACTGGATTCAGGTAAGCGATACTTTTCCTCTTAATCGTGATATATGACACTCTACGAAAAACCGAATTATATTCCTAAAATATTCTTTAACTTTCTAGCGCCATTAAAGTTTTTTAAGAATTGCAGTAGAGCTAGATAATCTTCTCAAAGAAATTTAAGAAAGTTTCAAAGCAGCCGTAGATAATTAATAAAATTCAAAATTTTCCCTGCTTTTCTTCGCATTTTCTTTCTCCTGTCGTTAAATATTAAACTAGCATTATAAATATATATTCCCCTTATAATTAAATCAATATCTCTATTGCATCGTGCGGCGCTCCGATGTTTAATGGTCATTAATGTGCGATATTAATGGAGTGATAAAGCAGCCGAGTCGATAAATATGAGAATGATATACTATCGAATCAAATAACACGCGATAGAATATAACATTATTATTGGTCATAACCGAGTTAGTTTACCCCCGTGACGTTATGCATGCTGACGATTCGCTGCGTTCAATTTCCACATGACTAGCGAACAGCTACAAAACAACCGACAACTTTTAGCCGATAACTGGCAACTTCTAAAATTATACTTATCGAGTGCGTGGGGGAGCTTCGCTTCCTCGTTCCATGGTCGTGCAAACTATACGACGTCGTTCTCGCGTTCGTGCAACTTTGCCGAAGGATCATTCCGGATTTTCTACGATCATAGTTCGCGCATTTTCAGGACTTTTATTCGTGTAACATATACGTACACGATCAGCGACTTATGCGAAGACACGAAGAGAGCAGTTTTTCCTCCCCGGGGAGTCGTCGGAGGGTTTTGTATCGACGATTTTGATGACTACGACAATTTCTTCGGCACGATCGTAAAGCAATTTCACAGACATCGCGATAAAACCGGTGAAATTTGCGTGCTCGTCTAGTAAAACATCAGTATCGAGATTCTCGTGAGCTTACGACGCTCCGAGAACGTTTCACGATTGCAATAACGTTAAGTTTATTGAATAACGAACGATTCTATCTCGATGTAAAAGTCCTAGTTTATAAGAAGATAGAGTTTGTATATTTTTTTTTTTTTATGTTATTTCGGTTTGCGCTTTGTACATCGGAGTATTCAATCGACGGTCCATTTATCACCCTCGGAGTATTCGCCGGGAAATCGAATGGCTAAAACTCGTAAACTCGAATTTCAAGACTTGCCGAGGTCGAGTTTCGTGCGGAATGTTGAGAGCGACGCGCAGCGGCTGCTACATCCCACAATATCCATTAATTCTTGATTCCTGCCGCGTAGTTAAGTGTAATCCGATTATACGTGTATCGATGTATTTCACTAAATTAGTTAAAAGCCGGAGATAGAGCGTGTACCTCCGTTAGAATATTAATTAACGGATTTTTGCTTTAAAGCGCCGTTGCACCTGAACTCTAATGTTAAGATTGCAATGTTATTCGAGAGGATACAACATTACCTCGCACATAGTATTTACTTTTCATTTTCACATTGTTTCGTTCGTGTGCGCGAGATGTAAAGTGAGATACCAGCATCTACAAAGAAGCGAGACACGGGAAAACGTAGTGAGAAAAGAACAACTAAGGGGGGAGGGGCAAGGGGGGAATAAGAAAAGCAGAGAAGCTAGAGAAATAAGAGGAGAGCGGCAAAGAAAACGTGAGAAATCGAACAAGCTCGAGTCGTCTGACAAGATGGATCGTGGAACGGCGATAGTAATCGGATTTTTCGTTCTAAACGGCAAACGAAACAACGAAACTGAAACATTAATTCTACAATACAGGCGTCTTAATACTGATTTTTGTAACTTATCCGAAAAAAACTGAAAAACAAAAAAAAAAAGAATTGACTAAAGATACGCAAAAAATATTGTATCTCTCAGCGCTAAGAAATACGATAAATGAATTCAAATCTATTTATACATTCTTTATTAATGTAGAGTCAAACCGTGCAATGTTAATAAAGCACGAAACTAAAATTAAAAAATATACTTTTATACAAAATATCGTTGTGACAATTATAATTACGTATCGATAATACCGTTTATTTCGTAGTATATTGTAATTCGGATAATTGAATGATTTCGCGATGTAACCATGTAACAAGCATTGTCAACAAGTGTAACAACCTTCTGGCCGTGATGCGAGGCAAAATTTCGGTCCTTGAAATTTACCGAGACGTTCGTTACGCGTACAAGATTCTTGAACGAGACAAGAACGCTTCGGGCACCGGCAACTTGGTCGAGAGAGAAGTTGATGGGACGAATACCGTTGGATAGGGTAACTTTGTACTTTGCGCGACTACTTGCCTTTACTTGGGTCGTGGTCTGGTCGATGTTGTGTTGCAGATATAAAATACAAACAAAGTCTCATTCTCAAATGGAATGAAGGACCAAATTGTTCTCCGCATCGCATGATAAACGAAACGCTCTTGAAAAATAAAGTTCTATCTATCAATTATATGATTACGGATCTGCGATTCTCTTCATTCGATAAATCTATTTCGCCTCTCCTAGGCAACTATTAATTTGTAAAATTTTTTTGCAAACTTTTTTATGAAATGTAGATTTGCGAATAATGACAAAATTAATATACAAAAAATTTTCTCCTTTTTAAAATCTTTTTATATTTATTGATTGTGAATATTCTATTTCTTTCTAAATTTGTTTATATTACTTAAAATTGATAATGTAATAGTTTGCATTATAAAGAGAGAGACACTGAAAAAATTTAGACTTATAAGAGGAGCTTGCAAAAAAGAAAAATTTTTCATGTATTTTATATCAACATTCAATAAAATAAAAATTTTTAATATGTTAACTATTTGTATATGATCATTTTCAGGATTTTTTGTTTCAGAATAGTGATTTATTTACTTAATCTCCATTATTACGTCGCAAAATCGAATTTAATACAAAAAGAATAATAAAAAAATTACTGATATGTCTCTTTTGTAATATTAGTATTAAATATAGCTTTTCAATATTTTACATTTATTAATGGATATGAAATATTGAAAAAAGAGCTTGTTTGCAAAATCGTACAATTTTACCTGGGCACTTTTATTACGGTTTGTTAATGAAAATAAATGCAAAAAGAACGAGCTCTCTGAAAGAAAACGGCATTTGGTAAACGACAAGCAAGCTTATTACGACCTTCTTCCGCTTCCTTGTCCTTTTCCGACAGACGGTTATATTTTTTCCGTATTAAGAGAAGCAATCAAAAGCATTCAAACAAGGCGGCGAGACATTTCCCGTTTCTTTGGCGCCGTTTGCAAAATTTGTTAGAAAGGGGAGAAAATTTTTCTCAATACACTGTAATAGGGCTTCGCGAATAAAATATGTATATAGAACACCTAAGTGTCTTACTCCAGATGTTATTATACTTTCAATCGACGCATTAATTTCCGTGTCAGCGTTTAAATAATGTTGACACAACATCTATCTTATATTTATTCAAACTTTTCATTTTTTGCTATTATTTTCTATTTCATAAATGCGCGATTCAAAATGTTACGTTAAAAGGAAATGTAAAATAAAGCTGCAAAGTTTCTTGTAATATTTATGAATGCTACTCAATTTTTTTATTAACATTTATGTTTAGCCAACTCCTTCAACTTTACAGAATCTTATTATAAAATTTGACGCTATAATGCAATAGCGTAATCGTTACAGTTTCTGCGGCCTTGTGTATTTCAGGGACGACTTCTGGGAAAGGCGGACGCGTACTTCAGTTCCTTCCGGCGTTGCAATTACCCGCGAATTAGGGCCCCCAACGCCACGCCCGAGATAGTTTACGAGTGCGCGAGGTACTCCAGGTACGTATTTTCGCATTAATATATTCCCATATCAAAGCACAGTCGGTGTTATAGGCAGCCTTCTCTACGCCCGCGATTCCAAAGGTACGAGAAGAGCAAAGCTCGACCGCTAAATATCTCTTAGATTACGAGATTTAAAAGAACGATGGCCGCAAATTTCCTCGATCATTCTTTCAAATTATCAGATTGAATACAATCTTAATTATCTCATGAAACTGTAATTTAAGGAAACGTACTTTTCATAATCACACTCACACAGCGCGTAAAATGCATAAATTTTTATGTATGTAATTAAAGTTATATCAAGTTGTATAAACGATACGAAATAAAGTTTAGAAACTATAAAAAATTAAAGATGTAAAAGAAATAAATGAAGCACATTTCAGAATAATATTAAATATGATAAGGCATATACTTGTAAGACGTATATATTTTTAGATTAATAAATAATTAGTATAATATAATACAACCGAGAGAGATATAAACGAGAATTAAGAGTTTGTCAGAAATGAGCATTTATCGCGAATTATATGTGGCATCTTAATTATACAAATTGTTCTATCCACGATAAAAACAGGAATTTCACACGTATTCGCGTTTCAGGTGCAGGGATGAATTTAAAATTCGATAACGGATTAATTTGAGTTCGAGAAGTGAATCCGAATAATTTAAACCGAGCTCAAGTTGCTTGTATAATTCGTGTCACGCGACCAGAATAATTTCACGCTAATACTAGTGCAGGCCGAGAAAACGGGGCGTAAGAATTTTCTTCCCGAGCGATCGTAAAAATCGCAATTTGCCCGCGGCATGAAAACTATACAAAGCACCGTTATTAACGAAGGAAATTATAAAAAGCGGAAAGTAGAGAAACGGCGCGACGCTTTCCTTTTTTGCGTATGAAACGAGAAATTATATGAAATATCATAAGTTCAGTCAATATATCATGATTCTTTGATCATTTTACTCGAATAAAAGAGACTCTCTCGGTTATTAATACAGGGATTAATTCGGGATCCGTTTATTTTAACTTTTGAATGCATACGAATAATTGAATTAAATGTCAGCCATTTGATCATCTCTATGTATATTTTCAACAGTTATATCTCTTTCCTCTAAAAGGAATAATAAACTATGATAACTCTAAATTATATTATTTAATGAAAAATTTATGCAGGTTACATGTAACCTGCATTAAGCACGCGTTAAAATAAATTTCCCTAATATTAATAGTAATTACAATAGAGTATTAATATTAATATAGTAAATTAATCGGAGGGTATATAGATTTGTTTGCGCTCCATTTCTGTTATATGGCACTGATAATGATAATAATGGGAATAACAATTATCTCGTAATAACAGTGTGTAAGCACGCGAGATTAATAGAATTGGATTGCGCTTTGGGAATTCGATGTATTAAGGTATCCATGAGTCATGTGTTTTTCGAGTACCGTTCTATCCGATCGCGGCAGCTAAACGATGCATACCAAATCCCCATATTCGCATCGTAGGATCAGCGAAAGCGTTAAAAACAAGAATTGGACTATTCGGCGCATTCGTATTATCGCCCGTTATCGATTACCGCCCGTTTGCCGGAGAGGATTTCGATAGACGCGGTCGAAAATACGGGCTATATTTTACGCGGTAAAAGTGACGTAACGACCCGTGGTAAATTATAAAAGTTTTATCTTTTTTTTCTTTTTTCACGGCATGTGCATTTGGTTGACGAGATCACACGCGATTTGCACAACGCGCGTCACACGTGATCGCGAGAATAATTTATGTCGAGTTTGATCTTAATTAAATCGTTAATATACTTTACAATTAATCATTTTTTTGCGAACACTTGCGAGAATTAAAACTTTCACGTTAGATGAATTGTAACAGGCAATATGTGATGGTCGGTTCAGCGATATATATTGATGACGTCGGTAGCGGAGAATTGTATGGAAATTGTTCCGACAACCTACTTCATGACAGCACGTGTACAATGATGGAAAGCATAGAAAATAAAGTTAACGCGTGGCACTACTATTGCGTATTTTTTAAAGCGCTCGTCAATGGACACGGAAACTTTATTTTTTTGTTTTTAATATACGCTTTGTTTTTAAATTATTTTTAAAGAGAACGTGATAAAAATTTTGACGTTAATACATAATAACAAAAATCTTTAAAAAAATTATAAAATAAGCTAAGAGAATTAAGATTATGACATATGTATATTGCTTTGTTTATGGATATTTCCACATCCATTCCACAAAGGTATCGTTATAAAACATATTTCGTCGAGGATACTGCACGGGGAGGCAAGCGCTAACAATGAGTCACCCGCAAATTTAATTCCGGATATACTCTTTTGCACACGAGATCTCGCTAGCGCGCTACGCGGAAAAACGATAAAAAAGTATATTTCGCGTATGCGATCTCTGATTTAATTTTCGCAAATTCGTATGTAGGTCGGCTTCGTCGGTGTCAGTACCATCTGACGAAGCTCTCCTCATCCTTCTTTCTTTTTCATCGCGATGACGATGTACTCGAGCAAACTTTTACTTATTCCGTCAGATTTGATCCGATGGAGAGTCAATTGAATATAGCGAGATGACGTGTGCTCCAGCGTAATCTCATGTTCGATTTTCCGGCAAAATGCCGGTAAGCTTTCGACAATGTCTGTTCTTAATTTTAATAATAGATTCATTGAAGAATTTGGTATCGTTTCGTCTTTTTTGACATGGAAAAATGTATCTTGTATGTCAACTTATGTGCGTTGGCAGTATCGCAATCTGGACACAAGATTATATTTGTCGCACTATCTAATATTCAGCAATGAATCGAGTACAACAAGCGATTTCTCGATTGTCTAAGCGCGTGTGATAATATAATTGTACGCAGGCAAAATTCGCTTCTATGTGTAATTCTCCTCTTCTCATCCCAATGTAATTGGTATAAGCACGGTACGTGCTAATAGCAAGCTTACTCTCTACAAATCGAGATTGATTCGTTAACTCCATCTGTTTCTACGATAGACCTGTTATCTCTCGACGTGGAATTAACTCGAAAATTCATGCAATCGTTTCATTACAGAAATCTTACAGAACAAATTTTACAAAGAATTTCAAACAAGTTGTAAAAAGATAACACTCATATTATTATATTACATTCATTAGATACTATTTGTTATTCTAATATTTAACAAGATTGAAATATATATTTGGGACAATTTTATTCAAAGTTATACAAAGCATAAAAATTAAATTAGCTCATTAGAATCATGTAATATAATTCACAGGAAATAATCTCAAAAATCTCTGTGAGAGTAACGGAAAATATTTATAACTATGTAGCGTCGGTTACGATTAATATCTCATTTTTTCCAAACAAAAGCGAACGATACAATATTTTACGTCAGAACGCGCGCCGCAAAAAAAATATTACATTTGGTCAGTTTAACGGGTCAAAACTTCGGGAAGCTAAAAACAGATAATACGATATTTTACGTCACAATATCTCCCGCAAAAAATATTTGCGTAAAACGAAAAATATTCTGCACAGTTATGTGCATTTTCTCGACTTCGATAATCTCATTAATTCTTTATTTGGAATATTCAATTTACATTTTTCAGATTACTATAATAGTAATATAAAATTTATTTTTGCATCCTATATAATTGTTTATGTGGCACAAATTATTTATTATATTTTACATTAATGAATCTCGTTGTAGCGGAATATTTTCTACATTTAAGAAATTCGAGTCGAATCTCTGACAGAAAAATTTAAATTGACAAATTGCTTTAACGTGCCAATTCATGGAATAATGCGATTAAATTACTAATTATCCCATTTATTCAAAATTCTACAAAGCAATAATATAATTTATAGCTAAACTCTGTTTAATTTCGCCTTATGACAATTTTAACTCATTACATACATACATCGAAATACAATATAATTTCACGTTTGATGAGTTAGTTCTCGTAATATTATTACATCGGATGTAATTAGAATAAAATATATTTGCTTTTTCGTTTTGCTTAAACGCTAGCTCCGATAAATCCGCGCTAATTTCGTCATATAAGCCGCATCCCTTGTTATATTAATTAATGTAGAACAACTACAAATACGTAAATAATATAACGAATAAAGCTTATTTCAGTTTGCGATAAATACGTCGATTAGAGCTTTATTCGAATTGTTCCATTACATTAATAAAACATTATTTTCGCGCAAATTGCTTATCCGATTTAACGTTTTCTTTTTCTTTTTAAATGTACTTCAATGTTACGCGGGGAAATATCTTAGGTCCAAAAAAATATTTACGAATTTTACGTTTTAAAGCATTTTCTCTGTCAAACAAATTAAAATAGTTTTCAATATATAAAATGTGAATATTTAACATACGGCTACTGATTTCAAGAATTTATTATCATGAGTGTGATGTTACATTACAGCTTTTGGGATATACCGAGTGCCTGGTGGCAGGCGAGTACAGTCACGATGGGAATTGGCGTCGCGATTGCAGTAATCGGCGCCTTGACGCTTCTGGCAGCGGCGTCATCATTCCTCCCACACATTCTAAAAACGCCGAAACACACGAGAATACTTGGTTCCTTGCAACTGCTCGCTGGTGAGTGTCATATGCGCGCATTTTTTATATTTTGTAATTAGATCCAATAATTTAATACGAAATTAATATCATTTATTACGCGTCAACATGCCATTATCAACGTTACATCAATGTGCCGTGAATATTATGTGAAAAAGAAAAATACATATCACACATACATTGAACTGTAATTAAAAATTTGTAATTTAAGCTCTTTCTATATTTCAAGCACAAAAAAAATGATACACCTTTAAAAATAACCAGACAGTCTGTCTGGTCACATCAAATTGATGCGAGGTGAACGTAATGGACCGACGAGAAATTCATCTCGCGACGAAATAATGAACTGTCCTCGAATAAAATAGATATCATGGTAACGTCATCCTTCTTCCAGCGCATTGACGTATTCCATTTACGCGCTTCAAGTTAGTTCGTTGTTCTCGATTTGCTTCTATTCGCGTTCGAGGGTCGCTTTCGAAAAATGACAGAATCGCCCGCAGGCTCTGTACGACGTGATCGATGCGGGATGACGTTGGGGATCTCGTAATACTGATTTCTCGGGAGAAAAACGCGCGCGTCACATCATGTTGGATTCGCAAAATTCACTACTATTTCTTCCTTCTAAAAGTTTTTCTATTTTGTAAATAAATGCGACACGCAATTCTGCAACATGTATTTTTCATTTTTATATAATTAATATATAAGACCATCGAGAAAATTGCAAAGAGTAGCTAACGGAAAAAATGGATAAATAGAATCTATTAATACGCTTCTTGATTAAGGCATATTAAATTCTCGGTAGCATAATTTATAATTCATTGACTATTTTTATTTGTTTGTTACAGCAGCGATGATATGCGGCGGTCTGTTCATGTATCCGATCGGCTGGGATAATCGGGAAGTACGCGAATCCTGTGGGAAAGGGGCCAATGTTTACAATCTCGGTGAGTACTCTCCGTTCGTATTCGGTATTCGTATTCGGTGTAGCGATACGAATGATACGGCGAGCAACGGAGAATGGCAGCCCGGAACTTAATTCCGGCGGAATGCGGCGCGAGTTATCGATCTAATTCGATAACTAATTAACGCTCGACGAACTCGTGAGCGCGCGGGCGGAAGGGGAGGGAGTTGCGCTTTAGTTCCTCGTTTCCTAGTTTAACGACGTCTTCAACGAGAAATTGCCGTTCCGATGTGGCGCAGCAGAAATCCGCGGACGTGTGTCTGTACGTGATTACTCTTAAGACGTTACACTACGACAACGACGACGACAACGACGACGGACTAGCATCGGCGGTGGAAGTTTCCGCATTTTCGCAGGCGAATTCCCGGAGCATTTTACGGAGCACTCAACGACCTACAGCCATTCCGAGACTTTACGTAAACCGGTCGAGACTTATGGCTCTTGTAACTTTGCGGGGCGCGCAATCCACGTCACGCCGCCGATCTCGAACGCAATTCCTCTGATTTTCTCGTAATTTTCCAGCGTGCCCGTAACGATCTGATTCGACATCGGCGATCCGGTGGTGATTTGCCTTTCAATACCCGGGGGATTGTTATTGATTTGCTGCGAATTTGCTGCCGTGACTGCGGATGCGTACATTGTTGTATTCCGCAGGATCATCTCTGATACTAAATTTGCATTCGATAGATTTGCCACGCGATATAAATAGGGGAAAATATTTATCTATATATTCGGCTGCCTTGTATTCTCGTATTAAAAATTTTTTTATTTTTTTCGTGTAAAACTCTATCGACGCTCCGATATTTTATAAATAGAATTGCAGAAAGATGATAATATATCCGGAAAAAAAAAACTATCGATGGAAAATTTTAATTCTGAAAAAAACTCCGGGACATTTTACGTGAGCGCGGTGGTTCATTTTTTTATATTGACAAGATTTTGTAGAGTTATCTGGCCGAGAGAATACATATAATCCATACGCTCTGTGTATTCGATGCACAGGTGACAAGCGTTCCCAGGTGAATACTATGGAAATAGACCGGTTGGGTCAAACCGACATCAAACCAAACGTCAAAGCGATGACGGGATCGTATATATTTCGATAGCACGATTCCCTCTGTTAAATGATATCTCTTGTGGATTATAAATTGAACTTATTTGTAAACTTTAATAGAAATACGAAGGTAATTTTGTACTTCAAATTGTTTAAAGCCAACCGATTCGATCGCTGTAGCGAGTATTGTACATTCCACCAATCACCACATTCGCAATTAACATTTCTATTATTTTAGTGCTGAATTGGAAATGTAGATATGTTCAATTTGCGTTAACGCTGATATCATTATTTTATGTTCAAATCAAATCATCTCTCTTTGCTTATCGCTATCGCAAAAACATTTATTTAGAAAGTAAAACAAAATATTATTTTAAAAAACTGACAATTAAAAAATATCGTAGCAATGTCTCCTTTCTATTCAACTTATTATTAATCACTCAAAAAAAAATAATTTTTTTTCTAATTGCAATTTGTCGAAAAATAATTTCTTCTTTTCGAGGCAACGTATCTCGTGGAATAAATCCGTTCATGTCGGTTTATTAATCTACTCCGTGAGCCACTGATCAAATCATTACGGCGACAATCGGATTCAACCTCTCGGCTCTCGGCACGACGATTAGGCTGCCGAGCTATTCGCCGGGAAATTCCCGGGGGTGTCGACACCGCAGAATACTCGCCGAGTCGATGACAGACGGATGCCATCTGTTTCAGGGAAGTGCTCGCTGTCCTGGTCGAACCACTTGCTGATCGGCTCAATCGCGTTGCTGATGCTGTGCTTCGGCCTGAGCTTCTGCGCGGCGCAACACAAGCCCACGAATTCGCACACGGATCCCCTGCGCATTTGACAATCGAGATACTCGCAGTCGATTCACGCCTACGCTTCGCCGAAGACGACCACCACGCTCTCCATCGTCACGGTCTGTTGATCTCGTCGCGCGCCTGTTGCGTGCATGCGCCGTGCGTAAGTATGCGAACGTCGTCGCCGCCGGCACCACCACCATCGCCTGTCGTCCACCCACGTCGCGGTGCGAAACAAGATATACATATGTTATCGCGCACATATAAACACATCGCAACATTTGCGCGGGATCTGTCACGCGCGCGCGCGGAATATTTTCGCGTGTGTCGCGGCGTACTAGCGTGACGACTGCGAGTTGCGCGGACTCGCATCTCATACATATTTTACGTATATGTTTTTTTCGATTCGGGGCGGGAATGCAAATTTTTGCGCCATTTCACGTCGGTTTAATGCATGGTTTAACGCAAACGCGCCACCTGCGTGACTAACCCCTTCCCATTGACACATCTCACGCTACGATCGGCGTGACGTGAACGCTATAAATGAGCGTCGCGCTCATAACATAGTTTATCGATAAATGAAACGATTGACTATTGAACGATTAAGTGGGTAGGTACGAGTTGACAATTTGAAAAAATTAATTTTCCTCTGCGTACTTTGAATGTGATGTCACATTCACATGTCGAACACGAAAGAAGTATACGATCCACATTTAAACTTGGTAAATAACTTTACAAGCGTATTTCCCGAAAGCAAAAATGTTCCTATTAAATAGTGAAGAAATTTTCCCTTGCAAAAATATAGGAGGCTGTATAAAAAAATTGTTGCTATCTCGGTAATCTTCTTTTTTTTTTAATACGACTAGATATTTTTCCGCGAAAAAAATCTCAGGATTGCATCGAAAATCCATCCGGATCTCGGAAGATTGATTAAACTTTTGACAGGTTAACGCATATCTACCCTCTCGAGGCAAATCCTGCGCCTCTGTATATAGTATACGCGACCTGTATATGTACGTATGTATATACCGCGCTTAAAGTGAATCTTATAGTCTTGTTTCACGGCACAGAGTGTTCGAGAACTGCTATGGTATTTCCAATTTGATGCCATAGTAAGCCCCGAGTAGAAGCGACGAAGCAATTGGCAATTCGCCTTTCAGCACTTCCAATTCGCTCGCTGGGCATATACACGGTGGCGCAAAAGGATTCGGACCGAGAGAAATACGAACACACACATACATCTCTTTCGCGCCAAGACTTTGCATTCAGATGCGTCGTAACGATCGCGGTATCCAGGTGGACTGCAGCACACTCCTTTCGAAGACCGGGAAATCGCTATGTGTATCCCACGGTCCCGAAGAAGCCCTTCGGATATATCGATCGCACAGACGTGGAGAACGTTTCGACTCTCCAGAGATTTGCACGTTTCTCTTATTTATCCTCGTCTCGGATTCTTTTCTCAAGATGCTATTTCTTTCGTGAAAATAATGATATTGGTTTAACGATGACTGTCAGTGTGTGTTTATCTTAGAATTTATCCAAATAAGATCCCAGATTTCTTCGGATAATATGTGTCATATTTACTTTTCGCGCAAAATATCTTTTTACCTGACATTTTTGTAGGATAACAGAAAAGTGTTGCGTTTTATATATAGGCAATTCTCACATGGAGCCACTCTATCAAACAAGTAATTGTGTCCATATTGAATCGCGCACGCAAGAGAGAGGGAGAGAGAGAGAGAGAGAGAGAGAGAGAGAAAGTGTCGAGAAAATTGGGTTTAAGCCAGACGCGGAAAATTTAGCGACTAGCGAAATCCGCGTAATTAAAAGATAAAGGGATCAGGAAAGGTCGAAGTTCTGGGCTTCTATAGCTGCGGGTAGTAGTTTATTTGTATCGTGGCTTCTATCTAAACCATCCGCCGATCTTCTTGGCTTCATTCTATTTTCCACACAAAAGAAATCGGAAGATTGAATCGAATAGTTAAAAAAAGAAAAGTATTTTCTCGTTTTATGCTCGTGATCTGCCTCGTTCGGGCTTCTATCGATGGTTTAATTACGAATCGTGATATTTATAAATGATATGACCTTTGTAAGAGCAATACTTCACCAGAGCTTTATTTTACGTTGCTTTCGAAAATTCGGAAACAATCAGTGCTTCAGGAATTTTTGTCGAGGAAAAAATGGTTGCATGCAATTCGGTCACAGAATCTCGCTATACGCGATGTGCATTCACGAATATTGAATCACCCTGTACGACTCAGGTAAAAAATAGCCTGCGGTATTTGTACGCGTTGTGAAGAATGTAATATTCGGGATGCGTATATGTGACCAAGGTATATAGGTGTAGCCTCAGTGAAATTCACAATTGTGGACGCGGTTGAATTTCACGTGTTGACGGAATGGTGCGCACAAACGATGGGCGCGCGTTATTCGGTGAAGGCATCGCTATTGGCCGAACAAAAATCCAAGCTGAACAAACAGACCGGAGCACGCTCCCCTCGCACGGGATCTCTATGCATCGCTTACTTCTTGCATCGGGGATTAATCGCGGCTTTTTTTCTACCGCACGCGCGCGCGCACACACACACGCGTGCGCGCGTATTGTTGCGCACGAAATAACGTACTCGTCGTGGTTACGCGTCTGATAAAAATTGTTTCGCCGTGAATAAAAGAATCCGCGGTGATATGGTTACTGATTCTGATACGCACTCTCTTTCGTTCTCTCTCTCGCTCTCTCTCTCTTTTTCCATTGATACACACCCGAAATATGCGAACCATGGAGATCGTCGCAAATTCGGAAAATATCTCGGTTATTCGTTATTGACGCAAAACGAAGTCATGTTCTATGCGTTGACGTGGCTTTCCCGAGGACACCCTAGAACGCAACTGGCAAAGGTGTTGTAAAACTGCTGAAAGCTTTTTGGATTACACGCTACGCGGGTTCAATCTGGATAGAGTATTTATCAATGCATAACGTTACCAAAATGCGTAAATAAACGAATCACGGCTCGAGAATACCGCTCTTAAAGAAAATGAAAAGTTCGAATTTAAATATTATATCGAATAAAATCGACAACAGCATATATATATATAGCTGAGAATCGCGATGTTATTAGTCCATTTGAATATTTTTTTCTCACATCTGTCAGCGCGCGTCATATCCTTATTTTCCAACAAGACTTTTAGTGACTTTCGCATCTCAAGACTCTAACTCGATTCGTTCGTTAAGTCGTGATTCGCTGACACTATCAAGAGGTGGAACTACTGCATCGTGTTTTTCTCGCGAGCTATAACTTTAGGCTCCGTCGACGTACCGTCCCCCGAGCAAAACTTAGGAAAAAAAGAAAGAGAAAGAGAGAAAAAAAATGGGAAGGAAACGAGCTGCTGGTTCGGGATCTATCGATCGACGAGTCGGTTTGTTCGCTCGTAGAGCGGATGTACCCGTCTCCCTTGAGAAACTTTCGCGGTAAAACCTCTCCCGTTCGCATGCGCATTCCCCAGCATCCCGTCCCTCATTCATCCCGTTCCTCTTTCTCTCCTTTCCTTTTTTTTTCTCTCGCCCTCCGCTCTCCTCCACTACTCTCGTATCACGCCGGTCCCTTTCCCTCTTCCATTTTTCGCTACGCGCTTCCACACGCCGCTGCCCGATTCCACTTTGCCTCTTATCGACTTCCGCCTTCCTTCCTAACCTAAGGACTCACCCGGCCATTTCTCTCTGCGACCACTGCCGGCCGGTGAGGAAGGTGGGGAAAAGAGATAGCCGGAAAAGCGAGTTCGTTCTCGTGACTAATTGAGCTATCGGTTTATCTGCGAGAGAAAGAAAGAGAGGAGATGGAGAGAGATACGACGGGAGGGCTCGTGGGGGAAGGAACGATTCAGGGGTAGAACGAGAAATGTTTCAGCAAGCCAACCCATCGTTTCCTTTACTCCGTCTTTCTTGTGTTTTCGCTCGCTCGACTCACGAGCACTTATCGCGTGACCGGGCAGAGCAAGTGGCGGCCATTTCACTGTCTCCATAAACGTACCGTTTTGTAACCGGTTACCTTGCCTAGTTGTCCTTAGAGAGGCCATAAGGGTCGCGAGCGAATTCCGTGTGTCGGTTTATTCTCTCACCGCTTCTCCGTTTAATCTTAATTTCGCTGAAGCCGTTTCGGCTTACCTACCGTAATTCGGTCTCTCGGCAACGAAAAGTGAGAACAACGATAGACTATATCTTACTTAAAAACGTCTACGAGAATTTCCTGTCCAATATACATTTATATTCATTTCTGCAATGGCAAAAATATGAACAATAACCAGATCTAAGTATTATTGTATTAGTATTATTGCACTCGCACTTCGCGGGTGGTAATGACAGATAAATGTGAAAATAGTTAACGCGATTACACGCTCTTCAACATTATATCGAGAAATGTCAATTTCAATAGCGAAGAAGAAACTTCTTCTAACTTAAACAATTTCGATACCTCCATTGTTCGCGAAGTTTCCGTTATATGAGTCTCATAGCCGCGAGACAATTTACAGCGATTGATCGTGCAATCAAACAATCTCCCTTTTGTCTGATATTTATTAAATATTTCTAAAGTCTGCTTATTGATTAGTTATTAATGCTAAATTGCTACCGCAATTATTAATCATTATTTATGTAATTTATAGCTTATTTATTTCAATGATTTGGTTCCGTTTTACTATTCTTGCAAATGTAATTTTTTTGGAGGATACGCGCGCGTGTTAATTTTATTCTGATTATAGCGTTTGCTCGAATTTTTTAAATTTTACTTGTATAAAATTAGAGATTTTATAGAGATTTTTTTTCTTCCAATACTTGATTAATTAATTGCTATTTAATTTCTATTCTTCAATTATGCTATTATTGATCCGACGGAATGATTACAAATTGAACTGTTTGGATGCAAGATCGCGCAAAAGAGCCATGTTAATTCATCTTTCGTATGGAGCGATGTGCCCTTTGATTAGCTTCTCCCTGTGATCGAACAGCGTAAAGCTTTCTCGCTAATTTGACACTTTCGATGCGCGATCCAATAATGAAGGATATTGGTTGACGGTGTCCCCCGAGTGTCTGAGGGATGGCTGAGTGATTGTGATTAATCTTGTCAAATTGCTGGCAGCTTCATAAGACGATTATCATTGTTGGTAATAAGGATTCGATTGATCGATCGGTTATTATCCACCACATCCTTAATTGTTTGTTCATTCTTCTCATAGCATGAAGGAAGGCAGTTGTCTCAGTTATATTACGGTTACATAATTTTTTAACTCTCGATAGATTGAAAGTATGAAAAAATACGAGATATTGAATGTTAAAAAGGGACTTTTATATAAAAGATTTCTTAAAAAGTTAGGTTTATCTATTCCTCTTTTTGTTAAATTTGCCAAGCCATGATCGATATATCCGAGCGACGCGCGTATATGAAATCGACAGACAAATTATGACATCCGTAATCTATCGTGCTTCCCACATGTCGTTATATGTACATTTTTCATCTTCGATCATACTATCAGAATCAGTGTACCGAATATTAATTATATAAACGTATTGTCATCTAGTGCGACTTCATATTGGAAGAATTAAGGACCATACTAATTCGGATCGGTACATTGTAAAAGTGCGCGTGTAAATATGAATTCTTGATGAGAAAAAGAGAGACCATTGCTGTTATATCCATCGGTTTGTAAAAAAAAAAAAAAAAGATGGTGCGTTAGAGAGTAATCATCAAAGTAAGCATCATAGTTTTATCAAACTATTTTACGACATTCGCGGAGAAGCACGTTGCACAAAATAGTATTCATTAGATAAATCTCTAGAGAAGAGTTTTATAATTAAAAGTTAAATATATATAGATAGGAAATAAATTTTTCATTAAAACGATAAACGTCATGTTGATTTTAAGCTCTTTAGTTTATAATAAATATTAATTTTTTTCTCTTATCTAAATTTTCGTTGTTTTGTATAACGTGTTTCACATCGTGGAATTCTGTCGTATCGTATCGTTACAATCAATACATTTCAGCCTCAGAGGTAATCATTTCCTTAATGTGTATTAAACGCGCATGTGATTAGATGCTGGAACATAATAATAATATTTCGCTGATAGCAGTATTTTAAGCGGATATGCTGAAGAAGGGTTTTCGAACTAACTAAATATTTGCTTTTGATTCTAAAAATGTAAATTTTTTCTGATACGATGCTAATTAAGATTTAGCAAAAAGCCCACGAGACATTCAGAGTTGCCTCCAACTTTTTCTTAGCTTTTTCTTTTAGAACAAAAAGAATGGAAATTTATTCGTTGAAGTTTTAAGAATAGTTACACGAAGAGAAAAGGGAGACAAGTAACATGAAAAAAAAAATATTGAGATTTGTTGAACTTTAGTGTGCATCCGCAATGTTAATTTCGGCTAGTAAGATTTGTTATGTCATTTTTTATAATACGTAACATCTCGTAACATCAAACGCGTTTATGCAGTATTATATTATAATTTATTCGGGAAAGTACTATTAATCAGATTTCATCGGTTGCATTCGCAGAGAAGATCGAGCGCATATAAAATATTTGGAGCGTGATCCGCATATATGAAATGCAAAGGAGCGTGACGAGCGTGCGTTTAGTTAGAGCTCGTGTAAATAACAGCGCGCGCATATGCATTCAACGTGAAGGTAAATAAATGCTGTTCGATGTGCAATCCGACACACAATTAATTGGGATCATCTCTTTTTATTCTCACACATTACTGATTGCAAAAATCAGTGATATATGCTGTACGACGTGTTATTTACGATATAGGGCACATTATTATAGAACTGGTCCTTCCTTCGTAATGTCAACCGTGACTATTTCCTTGTAAACGACTAAAATATTATATATATAAATATTATATAAATAAATTACAGAAATAAAATTATGCAAATTCTTATATAGTGGGATAAAACGGAGCTATTCACCGCTATTTGATCGGAATGTATGATTACGTTCTCTGTTCTTTGTGCAATTTTCATGGTAGAGCGTCTCTTGTATGCATAGTTATACATATGCTATGCAGTTATGAAGTCACTATGGTTATCTTGCCCCTGTCAAGTTGCCCGGAACGGCTTAATGTAACGGCACGGCTTCTAGTTTGTAAGTTATAAATTCGTAATTCGATATGCAAAATACGTATACCATAACTGAGAATTCTCGTATGTAGAACGTGTATTGTTTATTTCCTCCGGAATAGATTTAAATCTGTAATTTTTGTACTTTGTAGAAAATAAAAAGCTATTTAAAGTTTGAGCGTGTAAAGTAAATTTTATTTGAATAACTAAATTAACTTATTTCGCTGGACGGAGATATAATCTCTATTCTCTATTCAGTTATCACGCAACTTTAATAAGACAGCTACGGTTTTAAAAAAATTTTCAGATATTCGAAATTATTCATTTTGTCTGTGTATCGTCTGAATTATATATGTGTGTATACACCTCCTTAAATTTTCAAATCTTGAATCGTACTCCCTGAACGATGTAAAGTGTTATATTCGTTTATTCGAAGATTTATTCCTACTTCGCGAGAAAGTGGAAGAGCACAGCTACGTGTGCTGATGTATGTATACAATATATACATTCGCCCGGCACGTCACGTACAACGTGAAAAGTGCCGCTTAACTCGCAAAGTGATTCGAGTGGATGGAGAGCTAGTTCGTAGCTTCTCTCGAAAAACGAAAGTCTCTGCCAATTCCTGTCCTCTCCTTTCACGTCGAGTGCTTCAGCTGTAATGACCTCTTGAAATCAAAAAACGAAATTTTAAAGCTCAAAATTAAGACCGATTTAATTCTAACATTGTCGATAATGTGGAAGACAAAAAGATTTAAGATCATTAAAATTGATTTTCTTTTCCATAAAAATTTAAGCGCACGATATCTTTCGCAACTTTGAATTTTACGAAAAATAGCTTCAATGGATTTTCGCGTGCAAAAATAAATAAAACGTGTTTACGAGAAAAAAAAAAAAAAAAAACGCGCGAGATTAAAAATTTGCGTAACTAATTGACCACGGGGTACCATTGCTATTCAGACCTCGTCGCCGCCTAATATTTACTCGCGTTCATTAAGGCAGCCAGTCTCAGGCGGTACAATTTGCCGAGCTCCTGCTCTCTGCGGTGTCGACGTATTTTTCACAATCCACAGCTATCTCCATCTTCTTGTGTCTCCCGCAAATGGTCCATACACGAGCCGCGGACTACGTGACTACGTGAACTTTTTAAGCTGTTTACCGAGTATCGTGTCTACCGCGAGTGGTTTTATCGCGGCTTATGAACTTAGTTCGAGTTCGAGATGATCGAACCCGGGCGAAGGGATGGGAAGTTATAAATTCGTTATAACTCGAATATGAAATATCGACAAGATGCCATCGAGAACGATGGCATTTTCAAAGTAAACAGACGAAGGATCTACGCGTACGCGTAGTTCTTTACGCGACGTTGCATCTATTACAACACTATTATAACACGACAGAACCTGTTAAAGGTATTCTCGAAGGAAACCACAGGGGCACTGTACGGCTCTCTGTGAAGGGATCCTTAAACGTTCCCTCGATGTTTGTTCAGATTGTTATTTTCATCACGACGCAAGTTCCGACGGCGAGTTTTTATTATAGTTGAGAAGTGTATATCGCTTCTATTCGTTCTCTCGCGGAGACGACTGTGCGAAACGAAATATTGTACTTTGTTCCGGCGATTTAAATTCACCGCGCCTGCGACGGTATTCCCTTTACTTCATTCGGCGCGAGGAACTTCGCCCCGACCACCACCTGGCGGAAGTAAAAACTTCCTCGAGAGATCGGGATAAATGAATTAAACGATACCGTAGTCCTCGCGTTTCAGCGCACGAGACATTCGCGGCGCGCGCTCTTATTCCTCGTCTCGCCTTAAATTCGCCTTACCTGTTCGCCGATATTGTTTCGCTGCCGTGCCGGCAAAAGTTTGTTTTTAATTACTTTACTTTCGGCATAAATTGCTTGTAACGTTTACTGCCGCGTACAATAACCTTTCGCTTATGCACGCGAACGCAAATCTTCGAAAGTGCACACTTGCCGCGTTGTACGACCACACGCGCGGCTTTACTACTCACGTGCGTATAATGGCATTTACGCGAGAGTGTATCGAGAGATCTCATCGTGACATTACAACATTCTCCGTCTCCCGTGTTTCTTGCGAAAAGTAAATATTTCTTCTTCAAAAATATATAGATATAATATGAGCGCAAAATTTTCAATTTTTTTTTTTAATTGGCATTTTCGATTGAAAATGAATTTATTTTTTTTTAAATTTAAATTGAAAAGAATTATATAAAAAAATTGCAAAAAAGCTATTTCTTATTGATACCTTAATTTTCTGTGTTTCAATTCTTTTTTTTTTTTTAATAACATACTTTTGCGAAAGGTAAAGATTTACATCTCATTGATAGCTAAGAGAGATCAGTGTATACCGAAAGTAAAATAACATCGCGATAGCTTCCCTCGGGTATTTTTTCTTTCGCGCTATCGTAGAATCCCGTATACATCTCCTCCTGCACGTCATCGTCGTTTCCGCTAACGTAACAACTAGGGGCAACTTTGCTGGCAAGTAGAACGATTATGTTTCGAAACCTGAATGAATATTTGCTCGACTTCTCCCTTCCGGGAGATAGATCGGGCGGGCACACTGTCCCGGTATACGGCGGCTATAAATACTGCTTTGTATGCATGCCGAGTGAGCGGACCGCCAAGCACGGATAATAGGGAAGGAAACCTCGGAGAAGCTACTTTGTCCCTTCGTCCTTGCCTCGGCCTCCGGCGCCTCCTTCTTCGCGTGCATCGATGTTGTATAATGCGGTAACATAATAACGCAAGGCTGCTCTCGCGACGGCGACGGCGACGAGCCAGTGTCCGCTCACCACACCTCTAATTATAATTATCAAAGGATTCATGGTGTGACGGCGACGTCTCCACCAGTCTCGTACCTTGCGGACATTATTTTGATCCTTGCGGCGCTTGTTAATGGAGCGATTACCCGTACGTGCGCGCGCGCGCGCGCTTATTATCTGTTACTTGCAACAATTTTCAGGAAGTATCTCCGCTCTGTGATATATAAACTTTCCTTCAACCAACGCTATCTATCTTCAGCGCATTAAAATCGCGAGTGCAAAGTCGCTCTCTATTCGTTATTATTTATAAATAATTTTCTTCCTGAAGTATTAAATGTTTAATAATATTTAATAATTCATATCTTCCTCTCCATCGTAATTATAAATATTTCCATTTATAAATCACATTTTATTATGATGCACAATATCAACTATCGCGTAGTGTAGAGTATTACGTTTAAATTATTTTTATTCAAAGTTTCCTCGTAATGTTATCTCACTTTCTTCAGATGATCTACAAGAGCACATTTTATCGTAATATAGAATAAAAATCCTATGAACGTAAAAGTGATATTTTAACGCGAATGTACTAACTTATTCAACTAGCGTCAATCACAAAACTGTCCGAATTACTCGGACGATATCATTCGCATTAATTTCATTTTAACATCGTCCGTATTAGGCAACACGTATCACGAATCGCGCGTACGTGCTCGCATGTATGAAACATATATCACGTACTACGTGACTACTAACGAATCGCGAGCGAGCATGTAGATGCAATTTACACGGATAGATTTCGCTAAACTGCTATTATCGCGTTTCTATTCTAAAATCGAGCATTTT